CACAGCCTGTGCCCGGTCCGGGGGCAGATCTGGGTTCAAAGCTTCTGCTAGCCGAGCCAGGTTCCAGCGACAGATTTCTGGCTGAGCTTGATATGAGTAACGGCCAGAATTATCAGAGGCGTTGCAGATGAACTCTGGGTCAAAGCTTCAGAAGGAAAAACAGAGATGGACGTTAACATTCTGCTGCAGGTTGCAGAGATCCTGATCAACAGAATGCATGCGCCAAGAACAATCATAGGTACACCAAGTCAAATTAATTTCAAGTTGGTTTTTTTTTTGTTTTTTTTAAATAATAAACTCATATTTATACAGATATCAGAAGGAACTAGAGCAAGCCAATCATGGCCCAAATCCTGGGTGAAAGACGAGATCATTTTTTTGTTTTGTCTGTGCCATCCGAAACCCTGAGCAAAATCTTTTAACATAGTGGCATTTATTTAAAGCAGAATTTTATTCAATGACAAGTTAATACAAAATGATGATTTCAGCGACATCCATGTAGCACTGACTGTGTGTGAGACCATACCGGTCCATGAAGCCAAATGGTCCATAGTCCAGTGTAAGCCCCAGAATACTCATATTATCAGTATTGAGGACTCCATGACAGAATCCCACACACTGCCAATGGGCAACAAGTCTGGCTGTTCTCAGCATCACCTACGACAGAAAGAAAACCCTGAACAAACCTGAATGGCGTCTAATCATTTTTTGGATTTTTTTTTTTGACACTATCATTAAAAATAAATATTAAACCCTAAAAGCTTATTATTCAGTGATTTGTCTTAAAGCATATTATTAAACAACTACTATGAATTTTATACAGTAACTAAAATGTGGAGAAGATTCTGTACCAGACAGAAAAGCAATCTCTCAGGTAAAAATGTGACATGCAACCTATAGACGCTATTGCTTTTCATTTGTGACATGAGGACAACATGCCACACTGAAAAGCAAAACCTTTACTGCACTGCTCTTATGTTTTCACATCAGAAGTCAGTGTCATTCCCCAGTGCCTTGAATTTCTTTTCCATCAGCGCAGTGCGGTTGTGCCACACTGAAATGCAGTCACTGTCCATTCAAAACTCTAAGCCATACTCGGGAGCACGGTTGTAATGAGAGAAAGGGATGGGTATGAAAGCGTTGTTTTTTCTGAAGGCGTTGCTGCCCCAATAAAGGAATGCCTTTTATAGTCTTACTAGCTCATTGTTTACAACATTAACTAGGAGTAGCTACTCTTTCTGAATCCCAAAACACTTCCCGCTGCACTACACACATCAGCCAAGATATGATCTACTTGATAGTATAATGCTTTTACCAGGTGGATTAATTAGTGTCACAGAAGATGGGCGATTTTTTTCAGAATCATGAACATGCAGTTATGTGGAAAAACTGACGAAGCCAACATTACGTACTCGTACAACATTTAAATACCTCATCTCACAGTTAAACATGCTGAGAGTAAATAAAAACACTAGCCATAACTGAATAATAACTTTTACAAGTGATGCAAGGAGAGAACACCACAGCTTATAGCTGAAACCTTGGCCACTGACTTGCTGTTAATGACACATACACAACGTGCTACATTGGAAACGTAGTTAGAAGAGGATAATTATCATATAACTGTTTTTTTTCCCCCTAGCCTTTATTAATGTACTTCATCAGCTAACTAGTTCACCATACTTTATTACATTATGGAAGCTAGCACTTACTAGCCTAGTCAATTAGGTAGGGACTAGCTAGTGCATTGCAGCTTTTACTTGTCTTGTGGGCTAGATAATGATAAAATTTATTATTTCTCCACCCCTGATGAATGTTTACTAGGTAAAGCATACCTCCCTAAAGAAGGCAGTGTTCCTCTCCACTGGGTCCGAGTGACTCTGCTGGATCTCTGGGTAGAAAGTTTCAATGACATAATCCAGCATCTGAGTTCGTATCTCATTATATCCACAGCTGGGGCCCTGCCGACCTGTGAACTCATCCTCCTGCTTGAAAATCTCAAATGAACCAAACCTGCATGCGAACCACAAGACAACAAGCTCTCTTTCATTAATCAGACACAATTTATCACACAAAAGAATATGCAATCTCTAGGCGTAAAAACGTTCATCATTTTGCATCATATAGTATCTCACTGGCCAGTGAAGTGATCGAGACAGCGCTGACCTGATAAAAGTGGGAGCGATGCGCAACACCACTGAGCATCTCTCCATGCGCGGATTGCCGTCGTAAAACACATCTCTCATGACCCGCGTGTCTGAGGTCACTACAGAGCCAGCCCGTGTGGTAGGAATCCCAAGGGCAAAGACGGCTTCGCTGCACAAGAACTCACGGAGGCTGGAGCGCAAGACTTTACGTCCATCCGCTTGCCTGAAGAGAGAGAGGTCTGGTATAACACTTGTTATAACAAACGCTGGGCTGAGATCACAGTTATAATACAGATCAGCGTGGCTGAGTAGTGAAACGTAAATGAACAGAGAACCTGAAACCAGAAAACCTACAACAGTGAAACGGTCATGTAGAGAGCAAAGTGCAGAACCGCAGGAGAATAGTGTACTGCACACTTCCTGTGCAATACAAAAATGACATTCTCCACTTATCCCTTATGTAGCAGGCCAGCCAAGGTATGTTTGGTATCTAGCTTGAGCTTATTGTAATGTTACACTGTAGCTACAAGATCATTTTCTTTGCTTCTCAACCCTTAACCTCCTCCCTGACTGATAACACTTCGCCACATTCTCTGATGAGAATAAAAAAATCTGACTACAAAGCACTTCTGTAATTCTGTAATTTATAACTACACTATTCAGTGTCACCTAGAAGAGGAAGTGTTCCCTTCTGAGTCTAGGTTTTTTCAGTCATGTCGTCTCAGGGTGTTTTCCCCTGCCGCTGTTGTATCTAGTTTGTTCATTGGGGATCTTAACCTACTTCTGGAGTTCTGTAAAGCTGCTTTGCAACATTATCTATTGTTAAAAGTGCTACACAAATAAAATTTTATTTAACTGAGCTGTAAGTCCCTCTGGATAAGGGAGTCTGCCAAATGCTGTAAATGTAAGTAACAAACATTAAAAGTGTATGGCCACCAATCAGAATATGCGCTACTGTTTTCAGCTATGCAAAATATTTTTTGTTTATCTTTATCAATAACAATATGCCATAGTGTTAGAAGATACAACAAGTGTATTTGAGAATACTTAGCACTTTGACATTTTGCAGCATGAAAGATACTATCTTGTTTTACAAATATAAATACGGAAAATTTAGACATTAGAGATGACTTGATACCACGGAATGCACTATGATATGATATGATGCAATGCGTTTCAGTTCAGTTGCCTCGGATCAGTACGTGACCAACTTTGTTCAGAATCTGGGTAAGGCCTACCATTAACTCATCAAGCATCATGATGACATAGAAAAGGATGATTATAAGTATCAGAGTAACAGCCAAATCACCTTGCTAGCCTATTTACAGATTAGTTTAAAAAAGCATTATTTTGCACACTAGTTGTCTGTCCTTTGACTTATAATTACAACTACAGTAGAGAATAATCTATAGATAATGATCCATTTATAATAATAGACTCAATTTATGATTGATAATGATCCCTTTATGATAATAGACTCAATTTATGATTGTTGTCTCAATTCATTTCAGTTATTGCCTTTTAAATTGATGCATTGACCCAAATTGTCTGATTGTTACACCTCTACTTTCCAATGCCAGTTGTTGGACTGGCTACACTGAGTGAGCGTGTGTGTGTGTGTGTGTGTGAATATATATATGGGGCCCTGCGATAGACTGGCGTCCCATCCAGGGTGTATTCCAGCCTCACACCCAGGACAGGCTCTGGAACCACCGTGATGTCCTTGGGAAGTCTACCTGGAGTAAGGAGTGAGTCCAGAGCCCTTCAGCTGGATCTCCCAGCGCCTGCTGGGGTTTTCCTTCAGCAGCTCGGGACTCTGATCAGCTGGAGCTTTCACTTCACCCAGATAGCACGCAGCTCCGTCGCCCAGCTGCCCCGCGAAGTGGCCGAACTGGTGGCCGCAGTAGCAGTGAGCAGCGGGCTCGGAGCCCGGCATCACCCTGCAGCCGCTCAGGTACTCAGCAGCCAGCGGGTCAGTGATCACCTCCTCCGCGCTGAGGCCGAGCAGCGCCATGGCGGGAGCGGACACCGCCACAAAGCGGGGCTTCTGCAGCGGCTGCGGCGTCACTCTGGAGAAACACGCGCCGCGGACTGTCCTCACTCCCGGGGCCTCCGACTCCTCCACAGGGAGCTTTCTCAGCACCACGTTATCCCAGTCCAGCCGCTCGAGCGGGGAACGACTCGTCGCGATCGCCGTGCCCATGCCGTCCATTGAATAAAACCTCAGAAGAACAGGGCTGCAGTTGAAATTGTGAGGTCGTATTAGACGGAGTACATTGCTAGCCATTAACAAACTACCTTCTGCTAAAACGAGTTAGGTAAGTCAAACAGACGTCATATTTCTGAAACTTAAAAACAGAAAGCAGAACGACCAGAAACGGCGCATGATTTAGTAAATAGTGCACTACATAGGGCGCACTTGCTGTTATTTAATACTCAATGTAGTGCATTGATATAGGGAGTGGACAGCTATTTGGCTTTTGCCATTCTGAAATCCGGTCCGTCTTTGTTTTTGGTCCCCCCAGAAGCAAACTGGTAGGAACCAATGTTTAAATCTGTTTTTATTCTAAAATCCGACAAATCACAACAGTCATGATTATTAACACCAATGAAAGATGCCTGCAACGAAATTTTTACTAGCAGAAATGTTAATTCCAGATATCTTCTAAAAATTTAGACTAGAAAGTATGTTTGACTGGAAGTAATTCCATGTAACTTTGACTAGTTATCATTAACATCTCAATTTCTTTTATTTACATTTTTTTAACTAGTAAAAAGTCCAAAAAGTGTGGGGGGGAAATAGGAAAAGTGTGCAGCTTGCTCAATTTAGCACCATAGCCTTGACTGGTGAGGGGCATGGTGGCTTAGTGGTTTGCGTCTTACCTCTGTGGTTGAAGGTTCGAATCCTGCCTCTGCCCTGTGTGCATGGGTTTCCTCCCCAAAGACATGCGTTGTAGGCTGAATGGCCACTCTAAATTGTCCGTAGTGTGTGTGTGTGTGTGTGCGATTGTGCCCTGTAATGGGATGGCACCCCCTCCAGGGTGTCCCCTGCCTTGTGCCCCGATTCCCCTGGGCTAGGCTCCAGGTGACCCTGTGTAGGATAAGCAGTACTGAGAATAGATGGATGGATGAATGGATAGTAAAGACCAGAGCTCTAACATTAGACCGATTTTCTACTCCTTGAGCAGCACAGTACTTAGCTTAGAACTCTTGAAGAAGAATGGAAGAAACAGAAACACACAGTTTAAAAAGTCTATTTTATTGGGGGATTTGGTCATAAAGTTCTGTTCTGTTGTTTTGGTTGGGCATTGGGCTTATTAACAAAATGTAACAACTCACCTCCCTGTTACTATCCACTCATACAATACAGTGAACACTGGTAATGAATAGAATGAAACACATTAAACCACAGACATTTGCTGCAAATTATTTGCATCCCTAAAAGGGATTCAAATTAAAGTTTCAAGTACTGGAGGCGATTTGAAATAAAATCAAATAAAAGTTATCTTTAAGCACATTTGAGAGTAACATTGCTTTTTTTTTATATATTGATTTGTTTAGATCAGTGGTGAATTATGTTCTAATACTGCTACATGAATGATACAAAAGTACATTAAATAAGGCAGAGAATGATAATAGCAAAGTTTGAAATTATTTTAAGAGTTTATAATCTTCAGCTAGATGAAGAAGACATTTAATTGTGTCAGTCTTTTTTTCTACTATCCAGTGCCTTATATATGAATTCATCCCCCTTGAACTCAATAAACCGCATTTGTCAGAACATCAGGAGATTGTGAGTTTGAGTCTTGCCGTCGGAAGCCACAGGAGCAACACTGGCCATGCTCTTTCACCCTTGTCAATCACAGTGACGCTAGCCAATCATGGGCATCAGTGATGTGTTGTATGTGGAAGAGGGCCGAAAGCCCATATCAAAAATATGCAGTGGCTGGCTTCATGGAGGAAGTTCGTGTTAGACTTCACCATCTGCTGTATGATAGGGAGAGCTGGCTGGATAGTGCGAATTGACAAGATGACCAAATTGTGTAAATCAAATGGTAAAATCCCAACTTTGCTCATTTCGATTTTTGGTTGGTTTCAAAATATGGAAAAGTTCAAGGGGGTGAATATGGCATAACAAGAGTGATACTGGTTACTTTTCAAATGTTTATCCTGCGAATCAAGCAATACAAAAGGCTCAAGCTGAAGACTGCAATCAAGACTATCCATTAAACAGGTCATTTAAGAGTGAATACCACACATTTATTACGATTTGATGGAAGGTGATCAAATCGATCTGGTCAGCTTGTGTTTGTTAGCCCTTTTTCAAGTAACGTGATGGGAGGCACTTGTCAGATGACCTGGACATAGCTTCATCTCAAGCTAGAACACCACCTGCACACTTGTCTTTCATTTAAGCCCACACTGTAAGACGTAGTGCTTCAGTAGTTTCAGCCTCAGACGCTCTGCCCACAGAGGTCTAGCTTGTGAGACTAGTCCTTCAGTAATGTTGGCATGCTTCATCACCACTGCAAGATGCATTTTCCCATGAAAATAGAAACGGACCAAGTATAAAAAGGGCAGTTTCTCTGAATTGTTATTACTGTGTCTGTGACAATTATTTGTTTAACCTGTAGGAAATTATGCTCCCCAAGACCAAACATTCTCCTACATTTAAAGAAACAGCACTTACACCAGATGCATAAACATTGGAGTCTTCTCTCACTTCATGTTGAACCTTCAAACCTTTTTTTTTTTTAAAAAAAAAAAAAAAAAAAGCAAATCATGCTTTGGTACAAATCATATTACAGTATGAAATTTCCGTATTTACTTTCACTCAATAAAATTAATACGTTTAATTATGCAATTATGGTACGAATGGTAGAATTGGAAAATTTCCTGCATCACTTATGTGCTTACTTCAGCAGTGACACATTACTCATAATTAATGTAAAATCTCTAATAAACTATAGAACATGGGGGTTTTGTGTTGCATATTCAATATATGGCCCTGCTACCTAAATGGAGACATGTAGATAGACTAGACATCTCCAAGGCATTTCACACTTTTGTCTTTCCACATTATAATTTAAAATGTAGGAACAAAATCCAAAGGGAGTAGACATGCTATACTGAAACAGTTCTGTCATATATTAAAGTGTAAGAAAATCGGAAAACAGAGATAGAGAACAGGAAGTACTGTCCGGGTTTTGGCAGTACGGCTTCAGAGTTAAGAGAGGGGAGATTACTGAGGGCTGCTCCAAGGTCCCCATTCCAAAATCCCAGTTTGTTTCGAGAGTATGAGCCACATCATACCCTCTTATCTGCCCCATCTCTCATCTTAAGGCAATTGGTGTTCAGCGTAATATACTGTTTATTTAAGTCTTTGTTGAAGATCTAGGTCAGATGGGAGGCGGTCGTATATTCTCCAGCGATTGGACAGCAGGTAGGGAGAGAAACGCCCTCCCCACACACCCTCCAGCACGGTAACAGGCATATCCCAGAACACCAAGCAAGGCCCCTTTCAACACAGTACGCAACACCCAGCCAAATCGAGATGGTGGCGCCACACTGCGGGAAAGATATCACGTGAGACAAGTGACAATAAAATGCAGTAAGCATGGAAGGGATTTGATAGAACTAAAAACATACACACCTCATGATCTCATGAATATTAAGCTCTTTGTCCCAGTTTTTCTCAATTCCAGGAACATGGCCCATTCCAACCACTCCCACCACCACAGCAGGCACTTCTGTGAAAATACACAGCAGGTACAAGATACTCTGTAACACACGTTTCATTAAATGGCTCTTAAAAAAAAGGGAAAAAAAGACCTATAACACATGAACAGGCACTTAATACTATGCACATTCTGAAACACAATAAAGTATTATCTGGTGTTTGTCCCACACAAATGAACAAATATACATATGGCAACCAAATTAAGATTATTGCTATTACTGAAGATCATTATTTGCTCTGACCAAAGAAAATTTATTACAAAATAGTCTTGTAATTACTGTCGTGAATTCAGGATGGTTGTCAACGTGGGGTCTCAGTGGTCCATTTAATCTTAAATCTTGTTGCAGCAGTAGAAATCACAATCCCCATCATCAAAGTTAAATTTACTATTGCGTTCTTACAGTTATTAACAGACTGGTTACTTGAACTGCATGAGTTTAATCCAAATCTCAATAATTCAAGAAGAGTACAGCTATAAATTATATCACTTTGAATCTAAAGACTTTGGGTGCGTCTCAAACAGCTCCCTAATTCAGAAGTCAGGGCACTGATCAGGGAGTCAGCCATTTTAAGTCAGCCAACTTAAATGTACGTAGCTTGTTATCCTTGTTGTAGCTCTCAAATGAATACTTACGTTAGCGATTTCTAACTTTATCTGACGTTCTAACGGTTTGTTTCAGTCAAACGACTTTTAAGTGTTTAGCGATTTAAAAAAAAAATCCACTAGCTACCCTACAATCCTGCTTGAAGTACCAAGACAGAAATGCGTGTGATTAAGCTGACAAATTTCTATGACATATATTGTTTTACATTTAAATTTTATAACGTGAATACGTAATCATGTCGCCAGAGACTGAGTCATCAGCGTAACAATGTGTAGTGAGCCAGGGTCCTTAGCAGTGCCTGAACTCATGTACATGATATACTGATTCACGACATAGGGAACTGATTGAGATGCACCCATTTTTTTTTAGGTTAAAAATGTCTCTTGTGAGTGGAAAGCTCAGAAACCCAACTGCTCTATGGCTTTTGTTTTATCAGTTACTTTGATCCCTGCCCTAAGTCCTACAGCCATGAGATGGCAGGTGCATTACTCACTCTGGCCATTAGGTGGCGCCTCAACACAGCGAGCAGCCTGTCTGAGTGTGTGGGTGAGGTAGATGTCTCGCTCTGCAACAATGGTGCGGTGCAATGCGGGAAACTCGCCAATCATCTCTGACATTGTCTGTTCCAGCAGATCCTTCTGTTTGCACTTTTCGACATCCTCTTTACTGACGAGCACACAAACATACACACCTCACACACTGACTTCGAATGCCTTGGCGTAGAAGCTTTGTCAGGAAAGGGCATTAAAGGTGCAGAACATTACAGTGTGAAGCAAGCTTAGCGCATAATTTTCATAAACCAAATGTCATTCACTTAAGAACGATACAGAGAAACTCATATTAGTCACAAATAAAGATATTTAACAACAGGCTGTCTATATGAAGGCAGGAAACCTAGAAACCTGCAGGTACCTGATGGGGTCAGACAGGAAGCACAAGCCCCAGGCAAGCCGAGCTTTCTGCCACAAGCTCAGAGCGGCAATGGCACGTTTGAACGTCACTGGGATTGGCCTGTCCCCGAGGTGAAACTTGCAGAAAGGGACTTTACCTGCCTGCGAGAGAGGAGGAGATTTTTTTTTTGTTGTGATTTGAGCGCCAGATTGCAACCTTATAAACAAGCAAAATCAGGCAGCATACAATATTAAAAAACACCATCTGCTGTCTCATCATCAGAATCAGGAACTTGTGTGAATGAGAGATGACTGTGTAGGAGCGTGTCTATGCCAACCTCTTTGAAGGCTTCTCTAAACTCTCCTCCAGGCGCCATGCCCAGCTGCTCAGTGATGTGAGCAGAGACTTTTAGCAGCAGGATCTGCATGAGGCCTGACATCATGCCATTCTGATGAAGCAAAACAGAGCAAAGAGGGAAGGAATGCGAATGAGGGACATGTTATGATTCACAGGACACCACAGTCTGCTGTATAGCTCACCTGTTTGATAGCCTGCTGGACCTTCTCCAGGTTGATGTCCTTGGCCTCCTTGAGCAGCGTTTTTTCGTCCATCTTTAACATGGACACTCTGTACTGGCACAGCTCCACCACCACCACGTCTGGCTGCACTGCACGGATTGTCT